AGTTGGGACCGCTGGGGCTTGCGGCCTCAGCGAGGCCGAGTTGCGAGCTCGGCTGGGCTCGGCCGGGGGCGCCGAGGGTTGCAGGCGAGGCCTGGTAGGCCTGGAGCGCGGCCTGGTCTGGCAGGCTCTGGTGAGCGCGGCCTGGCGCGCAGGGTCTGCAGGACCCGGCGCGGCCTGGCCTGTAGAGCGTGGCCTGGTCTGGTCTGGGCGCGCCTGGCCTGGCAGGCACGGCCCGCCGGCCTGGCGCAGGGTCTGCAGGACCAGCCCTGGCCTGTAAGCGTGGCCTGGTCTGGCGGAATGCAGGCGGCGTGGCGGACTACGGGCCCCCTGGTGCAAGAGGGTCGGAGGACGGTGACGGCCTGGCCGGTAGAGCGTGGCCTGGTCTGGCGGGTCCGGGTGAGTGCGGCCTGGTCTGGCGGGCAGGCGAGCAGCGCCTGGAGGCCAGCCTGGAGAGCGCTGTCTGGCGACCAGTTAATGCTGGTCTGGCGGACTGGCGCGGTCTGGGGACCCTGGCCTGGAGACCGAGTCAGCAGACTCATATGAACACAGCAGACAGCAAGCCTGATTTGTCCTGGCGGGCCCAGGCGAGCGCAGCCTGGTCGTGGCGGGTCCAGGCCCAGCCTGGGGACCGCGGTCTGGCGGGCCTGGCGCACGCCTGGTCTGGAGGACCCGGCCACTGGAGAGCGCGGCCTGGAGGACCAGCACGCCAGAGTCTGGTGGGGCCTCGCCAGCAGGTCTGGTCTGGTGGGCCAGGCGAGCTGGCCTGGTCTGGCGGACCTGGCCTGAGAGCGCGGTCTGGGGCCCGGCATGATCTGGCGGTCTGGCGGGCCTAATTGTGGCGGCGTGGCCTGGCGGGCCTGGTACGCAGGGTCATAGGACCTGGCAGCGGCCTGGCCTGGAAGCGGCCTGGTCTGGCGGACCCGGCTTGGAGAGCGCCATCTGGTGGGCCTGGCGGCGTACTGGTTTGTTTGGAGGACCAGCCTGGGAGACTGGTGTCTGGAGGACCTGGCTGGCCCGGCAGTCCGAGGACCCGGCGCGATCTGGCGGGCCCGCGAGCGGCGCTGGCCTGGTCTGGGCCCAGGCGCGGCCTGGTCTGGCGGTTGACCGCTTGGAGAGCACGCAGTCCTGAGACCTGGCGCTGCCATGATCTGGCGGGCCTGGCACCAGTCCGGCGGGCCCAGCGCGCAAGGTCTGGAGGACCCAGCGATCTGGCGAGGCCCACTGTGATCCTGGCAGTGCTTACCCAGTCTGGCGGACCCAGCCTGGAAGCAGTCTGGAGGACCCGGCGCGCCTGGCAGGCCAGGCGAAGCGCTGGCCTGGTCTGGTATGGGGCCGACCTGGAGACATTCACCAGTGGTCTGGCGGGCCTGGCGCCAGCAGCCTGGTCTGGAGGACCCGGCCACTGGAGAGCGGCCCTGGAGGACCCGGCAGCTGGTCTGGTCTGGTGGGGCCCTGCCAGTGCGGTCTGGTCTGGCGGACCCGGCCTGGAGAGCGTGGTCTGGCGGGCCCGGCGCTCGGTCTGGAGGACCCGGCGCGGTCTGGCGGGCCCGGCGAGCGCGGCCCAGCCCATTTGGCGCCGTCCTCGGGAGCTGGCCGTGGGCCTGGCGTGCTGGCCGCGGCCCCGCAGTCCTCACCCGGCTCTCGTCCGGGGAGGACGGCCAGGCTGGCCGGTTGCCGCGGTTGTCTGCCGCGGTTCGCTGCGGCCTCTCCCCGAGTGCCCCGGTTGGCAGCCGGTCCCGGCCACCGGGTGGAGTGGGCAGAGGAAGAAGGCGAGGTGGACAGGCGGGTGCGATGCTGATGGGGGCCTGGCGCTTAGGGATGCTGGTGCCCAGTGCCGCGGCGGCAGAGGTTGGCTGGATCCCTCCCAGCCCGAGGCCAGGGCCCTCCGCGTTTCCTTTTCAGGGCGGACCCAGCTGTTATGAGGAGCCCCCGGGAGCTCTGGGCACAGGGCCGGAAGGGGCCGCTGTGTGTGGGGGGACAGGAGGCGCGGGGGAGGGTCTTCAAGGTGGGGGGGCTGCGGCCTGTGAGCGCCCCCTTCTGGCCACAGCGCTTGCCGCTTCCTGTGGTCTTTGCCCGCCCTCCGTGTCTCCTGGAGCGCAGCGCTGCAGGGGCGCGTCGAAGCCCCGCCCCGTCTCCCGGCCCTAGGCCCGCCTGCCGTAGGCGGGGCTTACGGGCGCTGTCCACGGGGCGCTGTCCTCGGTCCCGGAGACTCCTCTGGGCTTGTGTGCTCTTTTGGTCGAGGAAAAAGATTTTCGGACGGATCCCGGGAATTTTAGGGGAGAGAGCGATTCAGGTGGACCTTTGCACAGAGACAGGCGGGCAGGCAGTCAGGAGAAAGAACCAGTGTACTGTGAGCCTGGTGCTCTGGGGGCAGCTCTGAAATCCATTATCCTCTCTCCACTGGCATCTTAATTTTGACCCCTCCCCCTCTTCTTCCTCCTTTATTTCTTTTCACAAAAAGATATCAGGTATTTGTATCGAAATGGACCACTTATAATCCTGAGTTTATGATACGCAGTCATAACTAATCCGTGGGCTAACCTTTTTCTGTTTTTTAATTAATTAATTTATTTATTTCTGTTTTGGATAATGTAATGAACCCCATCTCTAACAGAATCTAGGAACCTGAGAATAACCACTGTCTCTGTGTTTTCCTCACCACCCCTCCCCCCTGCCACCGTTTCCCTTCCCTGGGGGTAATAATTAGCCTATATTTAAATTTTTCTTCCTTTTCTTTGTCTCTGTGTCTCTGCCTCTCAAAAGTGTGTGTGTGTGTGTGTGTGTGTGTGTGTGTGTGTGTGTGTGTACGTGCCCGATATTTTTAACTCTATACAAAGCATAGATCATGCTATATGTAATTTTGGGGGCCTTAAAGTGGTAACAACAATATTATGTTTCTAAAGATGGAGCGTATTGTTATCTTTCACCATGGTTTGTTCCTACTAACACTTTTGTGATATTATGTGGCTCTCCCAAAGGTAAGTTATCCATGGTTCTATTGATGGGCATTTGGGTTGTTTCCACGGTTTTGCTAGTGTGAGGAACATGAGATATTCTTTCATTTGTTTCTTGTTATACGTATATGTGTATGGTTTTTTCTGTGTATATACATAAGAGTTGAATATGTAGGTCACAGGATACACGGATATTAGGACATAATGCCATGCGGAGGCAACAAAGGCATGCTAGGCCATCTCTTTTCCAACACTTGATATTCAACTTTTGTCAATGGGATGGTTGTAATCAGTATGCCATGTGTTCTCAATATGTAATTCCTTGATCAGTAGGGGTGTTGTACATCTCTTCGTGTATTTATTGACATGGTTTTCTTCCCTTTGGTCATATCTGGTTCATTTTATATTGGGTTATTTATTGCATGTGACCTATTCTACCTTTCTAGAAGCTTTAGAATTTTTACGTTTGATATTAAAATTTACCACGACATGACTAGGTGTGGGTCTTTCCTCATTGTCTTCTTTTTGTATGTTCTTTCAGTTAGAGGTTATTTTGTTTCATTTTCTAGGACTATAAAATTTTTTTCCTTTCCTTTTTTTTTTTTTTTTTGGGTGTGTGAATGTATATATTTTTGATGCCAATTCTTTGCCAGTTTGCCAGTTCTGTGTATCTCCCAGTTTAAAACTTGTTTCTGTTTTCCTTAAGCTATTTTTTTTTGGTGAATGTAAACTTTTAAATTTACTGAGTCGGGGCGCCTGGGTGGCGCAGTCGGTTAAGCGTCCGACTTCAGCCAGGTCATGATCTCGCGGTCCGGGAGTTCGAGCCCCGCGTCAGGCTCTGGGCTGATGGCTCAGAGCCTGGAGCCTGTTTCCGATTCTGTATCTCCCTCTCTCTCTGCCCCTCCCCCGTTCATGCTCTGTCTCTCTCTGTCCCAAAAATAAATAAACGTTTGAAAAAAAAAATTTTAAATTTACTGAGTCAAATATATTGACATTTTAGAGTTAATGCTTTTGAGTCTTAAATATTTTTCCTACATTAAGATCTAAAAGGTAATTATGTTTTCTACCAAGAGTTCTAGCTAAAGTTTGGTGTTTGATGTTATTTAATTCCTTTAGAGTTGATTTTCATGTACAGTGGTAGGTAGGGATCCAGTTTTTATCTTTTTTCCATTTTGTTTTCAGTTCCATTTATTGAAAGTCTCTTCTTGGCCCACTGATCTATTACTCTGTCACATATCAAGGTTTGATTCACACATATCTGTCTGTGCTCTTTGTCCTAATCTGCTTATACCAATTATCAGTATTTGGTATGGAATAGACATTTTATTCTGGATTATTACAGTAATATACCAGGAAAACTGAAATGTAATCACTCCACTTGTTGGCCATTCTAAAGAATTTTGATTTTTGAGGCTGGCACTTGTGTTGAGCACTGGGTGTTCTGTGTAAGTAATGAACCACTAAATTCTACTCCTGAACCCAATGTTACACTATACATTAACTAGCTAGAATTTAAATAAAAATTTGAAAGAAAAAAATTTTGTTTTGATAGTATATACGATGGGAATTTATTGAAGAACTTGAGCAGTTGAGTTATACGTATATTCTGACTTATGTTTTTGGAGATTGTATCTGTCGAGGTGGATGGGGAGGGAGGATGGTGAGGGTCAGGAGTGGAGCAAGGGGACCAATTCTATGCTGCTGCCAGAGCGTAGGTGAGGGATGGTAGTGATTTTAGTCGCAGCAGTAGTAGAGGTGGAGAGTAGCGGATGGATTTGAAATGGAGGGAAAACCATTAGAGTTTTCCAACTTACTCAATGTGATAGATGAGAGAAAGTTGGGACTCATGTAATGTGTTTGGGTCTTGAACAGCTGGGTGGATGGAGATGCCATTCCTCAGCTGGAGAATTCTGGGGAAGGGACAGCCTGTAAGTTTATGAATTTTCAGATGAATTATGGTACCACTTTTAATTTGCTTATGCTCGGAAATGGCTTTATGGTCATGAATGTTTTATAGCTTGTTCATGCTCTTTCCTTTCCAAATAGGTGATTCTTCTTTGAAAACTGCAACCAGATCTCTTCTGGAATTCAATACAACAGAGACCTGTAAGCAAAACACAAATCACAAAATCCAGACTAGCATCACCTTCTTATGTGGGAAAACTTTGGTGAGTCTGCACAGTCCCTTTATAACGTTCTTTCCTTTTGTTAAAAACGTTTGTCTGTTGGACATTCTTACTACAGTGTCATTCCGGGAAGAATAAGTGAGCAAAATTAAAAACACAAACTGAAAACCCCAACCAAAACGCCATCGCCATTAAGAACCAATACATAAACAAACCCTAGCCTGTAGTTACAACTTTTAAGTGAAACTTGACCTACATCCTGTATAAAACTACAATTCAAGGTGATTAGCATGTTTAAACTCGAAACACTGCTGAACATTTACATTGCAGGCATAATTTTTTTTCTAAAACTTATTTTCATAGCATTTTATTATGGTAGTTTTTAGGGCAATGCACTTATTTGTTTAAAAAAGGATTTTGTTTTCTCATTTACATTAAATTGGAGAGGCCAACATCTATCTAGGAGAAGCCTTGGCCAGCAGACAATGGCCACTAATATCACTTTTTCAAGTATTGCTAGTATCGAAAGGGGACATAAATAATTATTTAAAGCATGATGTTTGTTCTTATCCTCTGTATATTGCATGCGAGTTTTTGCTGTTAATCTCTAGTGTTCAGAAAGGGACTGTCAGTGAATAATTGCTAGCTTTTAGGAGAAGCAATTTATTTTTTATTTTTATTATTTATTTATTTTTTTAAATGAAATTTATTGTCAAATTGGTTTCTATACAACACCCAGTACTCATCCTAGGAGAAGCAATTTGTATACAAGTCTTATGAATGTTCTCTAATCAGAGTAAGAATGCAAGTATTTAGAAAAATAAGGTTGAGTGAAACTCAATGTGGGTATCAGTTTGCTTTAAAGTATCATTTTAGAATTTGGTGCTGTGACTTCCTGCATCTTCAGACCTATAATGTCTCCTCTGAAGAACTTTAAAAATAGAACTTACGTTGTTAATTTTGGACCAGCCTGCCAGTTGCACTGTTGTCTATGTTGAAACCTTGGAAAAAGATCTGTTTGCAGAGATATGAAATATGGAGGTCTGTGCTACAGAATAAGCTAGCTGCTGCTTTAATTTTAACTAACTTCCCTCAAGAATTCTGAGTTCACCGTACAAGAACCAGAATTGCGAAGAACTCCCTAGATTTGCATGTGGGCGTATGGAGGTAAATTCTGTGTCGCGTATCACCCAGCAGCGCTGTGGTTGACCATTTTGGAGTCCACCTTGGTTGCAGTCTGTTAGGAGGGGCTGCCCTTGAGTGTGGGGTGTCTGAAGCGAGGCTGGTGTGTGAACTCAGTCGGGTCCAGATGGGCGTCCGTCCTCAGCTTACAGGAAGTATGAGGTCACATTTTCTGGCTTTGATTTTGTTGGCATTTGGTTAAGAGAACATTTGGAGTTTGAGAGTGGAAGGGCTCTGAGGATTGCATCCCATGAGTTTACTGTGCTTTGCATAGTTGGGGCAGTAGAACAGTTTTGGACCGATTATACCAAAATTCCAGCATGATTTCATGAAGCTTTTGTCTCATAATTTTTGCGTTTGGGAACTTCTTGATGACCTTGATTAACTAAAACAGTTGTGTCCTCCCTCCTCCCCCTCTTCTTTCTGCTTTCAAATTTTCATTAGCCTTTACTGTTTCTAACTTTAAGGGAGGAAAAAAAAAAACCCTTACATCATGCAGTATCGTAACTTATTTTTAATTTTTTTAAAAATAGGGAACTCCTGAATTTGTAACTGCGACAGACTGTGTGCATTACTTCGAGTGGAGGACCACTGCAGCATGCAAGAAAGACATATTTAAAGCTAATAAAGAGGTAACGAGGGGGCTCAAGGTCACGTGCTTGACATTCTGGGACCTTTAAGAGTTGAAATATTGACGCAAACCTTTTGGGGTCAAAATCTTTTTTAGTTTTCAGATTCCATTTGAGCAAAGATAACCGTATGATTTAATTGTTAAAATGAGGCTGGGTGGTTCTTATTTTTAGAACAGGGCATTTAAAACATCACAGGATATGATTAGAAATGGACTGGCTCAGCATCTACTCGGTTAGTTAGTTCTTGGTTTCTGGTGCTGCGCAACTTGGTGACTAACGTGGTTGAGCTTGTGTTCAGCGGATTCCCTCTTCCTACTGGCCCCATCTCTCCCCCACCGTGGGGCGGCTTCTGGACGCTTTCCGAGTCCAGGCCAGGCATTCCTAGCCCCTCAGTTCTCTGCCAGTTCACCTCAGAGACTTAGATGGCTCCTGTCGCTCCCTCCACTCTTTTCCTGGTGTTTGCTCAAGTCATTTTTGGTGATTAATGAAGCATCCTCTCGCTGAGCCCAGAGACTCTGGAGCTGGCTCCGCTGAGAGCAGACAGCACTCCCCTGCTGCTCCTCCCCTCTCACCATCCCGCGTCTGAAAGGTGGTGTCCTGTGCTCACCTAGACGACAGCCTTCGTGGGTTGTTACTCTCACGTGTCTCCGTTAGTTGTGTGTTCCAAAGGATTCGGTTCACAGACTCTCTCAGGTTCTAGGAAGTGACAGATGGGGGGCCATCTGTTATTTTCCGTGATGGCCTAAGATAGTGCCGTTGAAGGAGGGTGAAAAGAGAGATGTTTGTTTTTTGAAAATAAAGCCAAATTAAGTTAAAGAGAATAAGTTATCAGTGGTCTTTCAAATATGGCAGTCTTTAAAAGAAAAGACAGTCTGATAGGAAAGTGGCAGAGGGAAAATGTTGCCTCCCGGAGAGGAGCGTAAGGAATACTCAACGAGAAAGTTCCATTGTGGAAAGAATGAATGCCTAAGAAAATGACACTGACATTGAGGAGACCGGGTCACACTTAAACCTCGAATTTTAACACTTGGGTTAAGCTCTTTGCCAATATGTATTGGTGAATGGCAGGAAAAACATGTCCGGGACCCAGAGACACATGCCTCCTGCTCTCTTTGGGGCCTCAGACCTCTCTGGGCCCCACACACGTCCTCTGGGGCTCTGGTTTCCAGCCTGAGAGTGCCGCCTGTTTTTCCGGTGTTACCCGTGCGTCCTGTTACCTTGCCTCGCTGAGCTGACAGTTGTGTCTCCCACCACCTGGGGAAAAATCGCTTCTCAAAATAAACTCATAAATAGCAGCCGATTTTGGTTTCTTCATGGGGCAGGTCAGAAGTCACAGGCTGCAGACCCTGGACCAACTCTTGCCCCCTGGCCTGTGTTTGTGCAGCCCCAGAACTAAGAACAGGTTTTACATTTTTATAGGATTAAAAAAAAAAAAAAAAAAGCAAAGAACAACAACAGAGACCTATGTGACTTACGGAGCTTAAAATAACGTGCTCTGTCGCCCTTTATGGGAAATTGAGTGGGCCCCCGTTCTAAATTAGATTTTGGTATGTTAAGGGAGAGGTATAGCCCTCGTTTTTTCTCAAAACGGTGACATTTCATTTCTCTTGGAAGCTGACGTAAAGATCATGAGCACCATACAGTTTGTCCTCAGTGATACTCTCTTTAGGTCTGGTTGGTAGCTGGGGCTTTATTCATTCAGTTTTCATTTATCGACGCCCTGTCATGGGCCAAGAAGTAGGAATTTCATTAAATTTTGAAAGGGTTCTTGCTTTCAGAGAACCCATAGACCTATGGTGCGGAGGGCGTGTCTTCATTCACGACCCGGGTTCATCCTGCCTCAGGTACAGGTAAACTGAGGCAGGAAGCATGGAAGAGGACGGTGGCCGCCAAAAAGCAGTGCCATTGCTGTTAGTGAATCATAATCAAGTAGATTTCCTCTTCTCTGTTTTTGGTAAGATTTGATTACACCTTACGGGCTGTGGTATCACTTCAAAAACTAGTAGATGTTTCATGTAAACAAACCAACCAGATTTGGTTTTCACATTTCATTTCTGCTGTCAGTTTTGCTTTGTCAGGTTTAGAAGAATTTGGTGGGCAAATATCATGGAGTTCCAGACACTGGCTCTACAGGCTGGCGGAATAATGCTTGTCTAGTGGATCCTGGTTGGTTTTTTTTTTTTTTTTTAAGATAATTTCTTTAAAATATCGCGGACGGACGTCCCCTTACCATGGCACTCTTGGGAACACAGGAAATTCAGAACTGGCATGCCAGTGTTCTTACCAGAGTTACATAAATACAGCTAATGTACGTATGGTGCTAACAAGGTTGATTCACTGTGTGGTGTTTGAAGCTGGCAAGCGACCTCCTTCCCGGCGGCTACATTCCTGCTCTTATGAATGTCTCCATTGCTCTGCTCAGTGGAGCAGGAAGTGGGGAGGACTTTCCCCAGGAGCCTTCACTGTTTTTCCGACGCACGCTCCAATTCTGTGGGGCGCTGTGTTAGGCGTGTCTTCTGTTCCTTCCTGGAGTAGCGAGCCGGCCAGAAGTTGCTAAAACTGCCTTGAGCTGGGTGTCTGTGGACCTCACTTCCTGGAATCTCTCGAGTCTGTCGGTGAAACTGAGCTAGTTTGGAACTACGAGTTCTTTCACACATGGCCCCGGCTTTCCTTCCCGCCGTGTTCCAGGCTGCTCCCTTCATTCCCAGGCCTTCCTTTGGTCACTAGAGAGGTGCTCCCTGTCTCCCGTTCCCACCCACTCACCGGCCGGCTCGCTCCCTGCTCGAGTTCTGTTTCTGTGTTAACCTGCCGGAGGATGACGGGCTGTCGGTTTGTAGGATTCTGGACACCGTGGTCGCTCTCGCGGGAACCTAGTCACTGTCTGCAGCAGTACCTTTCGTTTTGGCCGCTTTTGTGCAGGATGCAGCGTTAGGCTTGGCATCTGGCCTGCCGACCCTGCTGCTGGCTTGGTGTGCCTGTGTCCCCGGAGCGGAGGCGCCGGCCCCCTCAGTCATCAGAGAGACCCCCGATCAATGCTGTGGGCGTTGGGGGAGTTCGCTTTGGGGGTCTGGCTGAAGGGAATTCTTGTGTCCCCCGAGGTTGTTTGATTTGATCCATTAGATCTCCCTGAATCTCTGAGAACAGGACTGGGAAAAAGGGTTAGTAGGTTAGAGTATTCCTGCGGGTTTGATAGCATCTTTCTAAGAATAATTTTTTAGCTAAATAGTAAGCAGTTAGTTTTTGTTATATAGATCTGCCTGTGAATAGCTTCAGTCTTTTTTTCAGTCAATTTTAGGAAAACCATCCTTTGAGAGTGATGTAGCAGATGACTTTGAAATGATCACTGAGGGGCACCTAGGTGGCTCAGTTGGTTGAGCATCCAACTTTGGCTTAGGTCATAATCTTGTGGTTCATTGAGTTCTAGGCCTGCACTGGGCTCACTGCTTTCAGCTTGGAGCCTGCTTCAGATTCTGTGTCACCCTCTCCCTCTGCTCCTCTCCCTCCCCGCCCCCTCCCAAAAATAAACGTTAAAAAAACGATTGCCAAGAATGTGAATTTTTGGGCATTCTTTGGCAGGGCGATTAAAGGGGTATTTCCGTAAAGACGACGTGGCGGTACATGATGTCAGTTAGATGACCAGGGCCTGTTTTATTCTTGGGCGCATCTCTGGGCTTGAATGCTCTGCCTTCAGAAATAGGTAGACCTTGTAAAGCGCAGGGTCTTCTAGTGGGTTCCTTGAAATTTTAAAAATAAGAGGACATTAGTTCCTTGAGATGAGCGAGAGGGCCTAGGTTAGAATCCAGGAAGCGTTGGATTAGATGTGCAGAGGAGGAACGTGTCTTCATATGTTCCTGAACAGGTGTTTCGGGAGGCCCCGTTAGGTTCCAGGCGTCATCCTAAGCCTCCCGCTTAGGACCACAGCAGTGACAGAGTCCCTGTCTTCAGGGAGCTTCCTCTCTCGTGGGAGAAAGCTGGCGAGTCAGCAGATGGCAGTGCCCGGAAATACACGTTAGCGTTAGGAAGAAAAAGGAAGCGGGAGGCTCCTGGCAGCGTGCTGCTGGGATTGGGCAGTAGTGAGGGAAAGTGGGTGGTGCTAAATGTACAGCCGCTGAAGCTCTTGTCGACCTTTGCTCTGTTCCTCTTGTCGCCGGGGACCCCGACAGTGGAGACGTTGGCCACAGGCCCCACCTGGCCGGTAGCGGAAGAAGCTGTGTGTCCAAGACCGCTTCTCTTCCTCTCTTCTAGGTGCCGTGCTACGTTTTTGATGGAGAGTTCAAGAAGCACGATTTAAATCCACTGATCAAGATTAGCGGAGGTTACTTGGTGGATGACTCTGACCCGGACACTTCTCTGTTCATCAACGTTTGTAGAGACATAGGTAGGTTTGGGGGGGTGGTGGTGAAGGATTTCTCAGAAGGCTTCGGTATCTTTGCGCTTCTGCCGTTCTTCCTAGTTGGAATATCCGTGTCACTGAGTAGGCCCCCTGAGGAACCTACCGGAAAGATGTGCATAACCTCACCCCCGGGGCTCCCAGTCAGTTCTGATTCCGTTGCAGATCTTGTCCAGACCGTTGGTCCATCCCAGTGTGTTCTCTCTGCCAGACGTGTTGGTTCCAGGATTCCCCCATAGCTGACTTCCAGGGAGATGGTGGGGAGGGCGGATAGGGTGGGTGTGCCGGGCGCCCCGAGACCTGCTGGAGCAGGATGAGTCAGCCCTCCTGGGAGGGCTGTGGGGAGGAGGGTCTCTAGCCAGCTGTGTGCACCCCAGTCTGTCGGCTTTGTGTTGCAGGCTGGGCAAAAGGGACAGACGGACAGCCAAGTGACCTGGGGAACTTGCTCGTGACGCGTATCTTAGCCCAAGCCAGCTTCTTGCCCGGCTTTCTCTACAGGTGCCAGAAGCAGTGTGAGAAGCGTGGGTGTCTTTGCTCAGTTAACTGAAGGCTGTAAATGGCCTTTATCTAAATGGGGCCCTGAGAACTGTTACTAATAAACCTTTGTTCTGTCAGCAATTTCTAAACTCCAGCTCTGTGCGTTCTTCAGGGGCGAGGAGGTGTTAGTCCCGAAGGCCGAGACTTGTCTTCCTGTTGTGCCAGCAGTAGTCGTGCCCCCGTAAATCTTGCTGGTAATTAGCTAATAAAATTAAGATCGTTTTTAGTGTTTGAAGTTCCTGTTTCTCACATAGTATGTGGGACTTTGGCCTTAGGAAAGCTCGGGACAAAATTTTTAGTTGTTTTGAATTTTCGAAAAATGTGTTAAGTTTGAGAGAGAGAGAGAGAGAGAGAGAGCACGTGCGTGTATGGTGGAGGGGCAGAGAGAGGAGGAGAGAGAGAACCCCAGGCAGGCTCCGCACTGTCAGCACGGAGCCCGGTGTGGGACCCGATCCCACAAACTGAGATCCTGACTTGAGTTGAAACCAAGAGTCTTCTGCTTAACTTGACTGAGCCACCACTCAGGTGCCCCTACGTTCGGAAAAAAATTTAAAAATAAACTCCGAACATGAGGGTGTGGCTGGGTGGTCGGTACATGAGTTTACAGTTATTCTTTGAATTGTACAAATACGTTATATACCATTTTGATTTTTTTTTAAGTTTATTTTGAAAGAGAGAGAGGGAGGGGGAGGAGGAGCAGAGAGAGTGGGAGAGAGAGAGAATTCAGCACTGTCAGCACAGAGCCGATGCGAGGGATCGAACTCACAAACCACGAGATCATGACCGGAGCCGAAATTAAAGAGTTGGACGCTTAACCGGCTGATCCTCCCAGGTGCCCCCCCATTTTGATTATTTTCAAACAGTTTTAAAAAGTGAGTATACCACATACGTGGTTCACTAGAAGTGACTAGTGATAATTTTAGATTTTTTTATGTCAGGCTCTTTACATCATTCTTTTGTTCTCTGAAGACAGCTTTTAATGTTCTTTTGGAAAAAGCCAGATAGGCAGAGTCTTTGTCTTAAATGGATCTGTAACTCAAATTTGATTATAAAGCTGACGAGCCTTGCAGATTATTGAATTCTGAAATAATATGCCATCTTAGTTTAGAAAACATTTAGATTCCTGGTCTTTTTATCATTTTGAGGATTCTCTGAATTCGGTAGAGATATTCTTATGAAAGGGTTTTTTTTTTTTTTTTTTTTTTTT